GTGAGTGACTGATTTTTTTTGAGGGGGGATTGTTGGCCAGGACACTGAGAGAGAAACTCCCTTTTTTTCCCCCAATAGCGCCGCAGGATCTGTAGCTACAGGCTACTTGGCGTCCACAGGATCTTGATTTAACATCTCATCTGAAGGATGGCATCTCTGACAATACAGCACATCCCCAGCGCTGCACTGAAGTGTCAGCCCAGAGCCCCGATGTAGATTAATGAAATAAAGGTCGAAATAAATATTCAGTTGTGATCATTTATGAGTTGTTGTTACCCTTGGTTGTTAATTGTGCAACTGGCTGCCACGTTTCACCCACAAAATACATAAGTTAATTCACTTTATAGTATATTCTGCGAAGGGCTTTGAGACATCTCGAAGACATGATAAGGTGCTATATCAAATGCAAGGATTATTATTATAAAATGATTTAATACAGCTTACGACAAGCATTGTAAGATGGAGATCGGTCGGCATCCATTTAACTGAAGCAGACCACAGGATAAGTGAACGGGCAAGCAGCCCGGGATAGCAGCTGAAGTGTGAAGAGATCTGAGGAAAACGTAGCTCATTGAACATCAAGCGGGTGAGCTACAATCCTCTCGCAAGTAAAAGAATTGTAAACAGGAGCGAAGAGCAACAAATTGTGTCGGAATAATAATAATCTTTGCATTTGATACAGCACCATATGTCATTGAGATGTCTCAAAGCACTTCACAGAATATACAGTAAAGTGAATTGAAAATGCATCGGCCAATTGCACACAGCAATGTCCCACAAACGGTCATGGGTTAAGTGACCAAAATTACAGTATTATTTTATTTTGAGGCATTATTGTCCCCGGAAAGCAATCCGTCAATCTACTAACTACCGGGTTCCTTCTTACTGCTAGAGGTGTGTGGAGTAAAGAAACTTGCCTAAGGTTTTGTCCGCCCGTGAATCGAACCTGCGTCCTCTCGCTTGCAAGGAGAGTGGCTCTAGCCACTACACGACACCTTTGAATGAATGAATCACACTGGAAATAGGATGTAAAACTCCTTGAAAATGGATCTTTCTCTGATGGCTGGAGGGCGACAGATGTGATTGAAGGCATGAATTTACAATTTCATATTAGTAAATAATAATAGAAATAACCCTCACGTTTGATACAGCACCTTATTACATTGGCAAGACATTTTAAAGCACTTCACAGGATCCACTGTGGCGGCAGCCAATTTGTTAAAACTCGGCTTAATATCTCATGTGTCAGTCTGGCACAGTGATAGCACTCTCGCCTCTGAGTCAGAAGGTGGTGGGTTCATAGCCGAAGCTGACACTCCAATGAAACAGAAATAGAAGCCGCTGAGAACACTCAGCAGGTCAGGCAGCATCTATGGAGAAAGGAAGGTGAGTCAACGTTTCGGGTCCACAACCCTTCATCAGAACTGACAGCAGTGCACTCCAATGCACTGCTGGGGTTGCATTGTCTGAGGTGAGGTCATTTGGATGAGACGGGAAACTCCATTCTGAGGGACATTTTGTTTACTTCTGAAGTGCCCCATGGACACTGGCATATGTGTGTATCCTTGTGTTATGCGAAGAGGCTGGAATAGAACCCATAGAAATGTACAGCACAGAGCACAGCCATTTGTGAAAGAACCATTCAGTCACATTTACTTTCTTATTCCCCCAAACTTCTGCAAACTATTAGCTTTCTCTCTCTCTCTCGTTTCCTGGTGAAAGCTAATCTGGATTCTAATATGAATGTCATGGCTGATTAGAAACAGACAAACTATACAGATCCCCAGTTCACAGATGATGAATCTGTACAGCCTTAGAAGTGTCTGCAATCCCAAGTATCTTCTTGAACGATGTGATATTTCCTGCTGCCTCAAAGCAATGTATTTTCAGCGAGACCCTGGTTGGAGCCTCCCAGCTGTTGTTAGAATGGATCTGGTGAACACACACTATTTACCAGACTCCACAGACGTTCCGCAGAGGCCTAGAGGGGAATCATCAGCTGGTACAGGGTTACAGGCAAGGGCGGTTGAGGCCAGGACGCTGGGCTCCTTTAAGAACTGGGGATCTGTATAGTTTGTTTGATGCTGTGCTGGGCGGACAGGAGAGTGGAGATTCTGTACAGATGAGATCAGATGGGCCATTTGTACCCGTGGCTGTCTCTCCACAGCTTTTAAAGCCGTTCAGACGGCCAATCATTCTGAGCGAGGTCCATAAGGACATTTATCACTAACTACAACCCCACAGCAGCCTTTTACAGGTCCAACAAGAACCTCTGCTGAACACTTGCGGGATGGCTTCACTCACCTCACCATCTTGTGCTCTTGTTTGGTGGCTACTGTGGTGCGTCTGTGATCAGGTCATCAGGTCTCTCACACACAACCTTCAGATGAGACGTTAAACCGAGGTCCCGTCTGCCTGTTCGGGTGGACACTAAAGATCCTGTGTCGCTATTGGAAAAGAGAAGGGAATTTCTCTCTCCCAGTGTCCTGGCCAACAATCCCCCAAATAAAATTGGTCACACACTCCATGGCTGTTTGTGGGACACTGCTGTATGCAATTGGCTGCCACATTCACCTACAAATACACAGTCACTGAATTTTTACAGTATGTTCTGTCAAGCACTTTGAGACATCTCAATGATGTGATAAGGTGCTAAATCAAATGAGAGGATTATTATTAAAGCCTTGTGGTTGCTGTTTGCGTGGAGTGACATCAGGAGGGCAGTGCCTTTCCAGTGAGATTAGAAGCAGCGGCACAGATGTGCCACATTCCTCTCGTCACTGGGTAGTTATGGGGAAAGCAACGATATTATGCGAATTAATCAGCCTTCAGCTTTTGAAATCACATCTAAGACCAGCGCTGTGAAATATGCCACAGTCAGATGGTGGCAGGACTAATTGACTTGTACACCAGCAAGGTGTTCACCAAATGCTGATGCCAGAGGGCAAAGAGTTAGATAAAGTTTGAACCCGCAATCATCCACAGCTCAACACATAAAAGGCTACACTTTTCTGTGTTCATTTTTTGGGGTGTCAACTGGGTGTCTGACACACACAGAAACATCACTGTGCTTAAGAGTATCCAAACCAGACAGTTCCACATACGTATGTCACTGACACATGGCCATTTCCCCGTGTCTGGAATGGAATGCACACTCTCTCCCTGAAGGGATACAACCTGCTTACTTAATTCCGGAGAGTATTAGTCACAGGTTGGCAAGAGCCAAGGCTTGGGGAGTGTGATTGGGGTAACTGGTGGAGTCTAACCATCTAAAAGCACAGTTTGCCATTGAGAGCACTGTCTACCAATCTTTCCGTAACTCTGTCTGTCCAGCGCTTTGGGATGTCCCCCCAATGTGAAAGGCGCTTCACGAATGTAATTTTGTGGCTGCTGCTGTTGTTCTCGCTACCTGTCCAGGTAGGACCAGCCTACCCATCAGGACTTTGGTTTGCAGGGTTAACAGGAGCTGAGAGGGAGGATTCTCAGACCCCAGTGATAAAGGAAATGTCTAATTCGTGTTTCAGAGCCTGAACCGTCCAACGTCAACACACACAGGCAGCAGAACTTGCAAGAAAATTTTAATGATGGCCACGGGATACGAAACAAGCCACAAGAGGGAAAAACTTACAAAAACTCAAAGCTCCTCCTGTAGTGTCAGGTACCTGATAAATTAAGCTTTTTTCCTCTTGCACACTTAATTACTGACATCTAGTGAAAATAATAAACTGAAAAACTGGGAAGAAATGAGAAATTAGAAGACACACATAAACACAAATATACCCTGACACACACAAACACACGTAGCCAGACACACACGCACACGTATATACACCCAGACACAGGCACGCACGCACACACACACACATCCAGACACAGAGACACACACCCACACAATATAGACCCAGACATGATACATATAACCAGCTGGTTGCAGATCAGCAAGCCTGGTGACTGTATTAAAGGTCAGTATTTTACTTGTGAAACCAGAGAGACAATGAGGCCGAGAGACAAACCAGAGACCAGCTCCACTTCACAGTGGGCTCACACTCAGTCACTAGCTGTATGCTGTGCCAGCCTTCGTCTCCAGCCACTGACCCCCTCTGCCAGTCTGGCACTGCCCCCCCCTCCCCCAGCCTGGCATTGCCCCACTCCCCCCAGCCGGACACTACCCCACTCCCCCCAGCCTGACACTGCTCTACTCGCACAGCCTGGCACTACCCCTCCCCAGCCTGGCTCTGCCCCCCACCACAGCCTGGCACTGTCCCTCCCCCAGCCTGGCACTGATGTGGGAGGAGGGGCTTCTCTCTCATGTTGACCCCATCCCCCCAGCAGAACCATCAGCCAATCAGCCATCTAGGGCAAGTCTGTGCCACCTTCAGCTCACTGCCAGAACTGAAGCCACCTCCACCCAGCAAACACTGGCATTCACAAGTCTACCCAGCGCTCTGCCACCCCCAGCCCAGCGAGCAAGGGGGGTTAACCCCCTGATCGGGCACGCTTTCAGGTCAAAATTTAACCCTTGGCCCAGTGAGATTTTTACCCCGTCTCCAGGCAGCAAGAAACCTCAGTAAAGGGAAGAGGGTGGAGGTGCTTTGTTCGGCCTGGAGAATGAGTGGATCAAATTAGCCGCAGTGTGAGACCGTGGCGATGGATACACACACACACACACAAACAACAACTTGCATTTATATAGCACCCCTTCAAGCAGGGTAGCACTTCAAACAACAAGCCACAGTTGAGGCCACAATTTGGGGTCTCTTTTGGGGAGAAAAAATACTGGCTTTTAAACCCAGTCACCACCTGTAAAAATGAGCAGAGGGCAAACACCAGCAGTTCCACGCCTGAGCCTCAGGTCCACAACCAACGCCACTGAAGGCAGAGTTCAGCTTCCCAAAGCGAGCAGCCCGTGGACACCCTGCCTACTGCAATCCGCTTTGTGCAACACAAGACAGACTTTGCACCGCTTGTCGTTACCTGTGGCTCATAACGTCTTTATTTTGTTTGTTTGTTTAAAAAAAAGATTTCCAATGGTTGAGAGTTCGTAAAGAGTCAGAGTCTGTGAAAAGTCTGGACCAAGGAGCATCAATCTCTCTCCGCTTTCCCTCCACACTGCAGTGTTGGCCTGTACTGTACTGTCCTGTGATGGTACGAAGCCATGATTGAGAGGGTATCTGGGAGGGAAGGTTACCAGGCGAGCCACACTGCAGTGTTAGCTTGGACTGTGCTGTGCTGGTGCAGAGCCACATTGAGAGGGTATCTGGGAGGGAGCGTTACCAGGCGAGGGGATTGAACGTATCCCAGGAGGAAGTCTCTGTGTCGACACTCACACGCTCGCAGTGATCCACTCCTCATACCAGCTCCAGCACCTGTGAACAGACAGACTCACAATGAATATCGGGAAAAATACTGGCTTTTAAACCCAGTCACCACAGATTGTCCCTCACTCCCCCAATCCCCGTACAACAATAACAATTTGATTGATATGCCTTTACTTTGGGAGGATGTCACAATGTGCTGGACAGTGAGGGGTTTGCACCCGAGCTGCGGTTTGGGACCAGCAGGAGTGCAGGGCAGAGGTGGGTGGGAATGGGAGGATGACCGAAGGCACGGTCGAAAAGGAAGGCCTTGAGCCGATCCTTGAAGGAGAAAGGGAGGGGGCGAGGTGAATGGGATCTGGGTTGAAGTTTCAGAAGGTGGCTGAAAACCTGATCGCCAATGGTGGGGTGGGTAGGGCAGGAACATGGAGCTGGCAAGTACCTGCCGAATGGAGGGAGTGGACAGGTTGATGAAGTTTTAATAGGTTGCAGAGGGAGGAGCATGTGGAAGATCTTGAACTGGTTCTTGTGTGTGGAGCTGGGGGGGGGGGGGGGAGGGGGTGATCGGCTCACGGAGCTCGGTGCTAGACTGAGCTCTCGCTCCCCCAATACTAACAGCTTGAGGATGTTATGTGAGGTTGGGTTACCTAGTTGTGTCGATAAAGACAAAGTTGGGTTTATAACGAGAACACATTGCTCAGTCTCAGCAGCCTTTGGCTGGCACAGAGCTATAGCATGTCCCTGCTCTCAATAGCCCAGAGACCAATCTGCCTCTGGAGTGGAGAATAGTGCCAGTCAGCCATACACACACAAACCTACAGCCTGCTTTAAGCAAATCAAAATTTGCTGCCTGCAGCTCTGGGCACACACTCTGTTACAGACTCTGGGGTTTAATTGTGCTGCCTGATCATTCCAGCAGCGGCCACTGATTTTCCCATAATTAACTGCAAGCCATCTGTCCTATCGTGTAGTGGTGGGGTTAGGAAGCCAGGCGTAAGCTTTCTGTGCCAGGCTTGCCAGCACGGCACTTTGAACGCACTCAAACAGCACAAAGCAATCAGATTCACACCGGCAACAAAACACACGCTGTCGCAGCACAGTGCGAGGCAGCCATTCAAACCGTCTGAATGACGGGCTCCTGAACATTTTATTAATACAGCCTGCCTTATCTGCAGGACAAGAGGGCAGACCAGTCACTGAAATTCTTCCCACTCGGCCCCCATTAACCATGCAAACCAAAGTCCTAATGGCTGGACAATCAGTGGGAAGTGTGGAGTGCAAGCGAGTGACCAATTTTATTTGGGGGATTGTTGGCCAGGACACTGGGAAAGAGAAACTCCCTTCTCTTTTCCAATAATGCCATGGGATCTTTAACATCCGCCTGAACAGACAGATGGGACCTCGGTTTAACAACTCTTCTGAAGGACAGCACCTCCGACAATGCAACACATCCCCAGCACTGCATTAAGAGTATCAGCTTAGACTATGTGATTCCATTTATACTCCTTGCCATGGGGCCCTTAGCATCAAAATAAATAAATGTCCCGGCCTAATATCTCCCCAAGTAAAATTGATCGCTAACTTCAAGGCTGCCTTTGGGCTATGCACAAACTGACTGTCACATTCCCCCCACGGCACACATGTTCACTACACTTTAGTGTGAATCCTGTGAAGGCATCCTCCCGAGGTGAAAGGCGCTGTATCACATGTAATGATTCTGGTTATTAATAACAATATCTCTTCACTCACCTTTATTGTGCCTTGGCTGTTTGCAGCAATTAGTACATTTGATTCCTGTTGATATGAAAAAGAAGGAAATAATTCAAATACAAGAATTGAACTACTCAGCAAATTAGATATGAGGAGAAACCAGGGATGTCAGAACACAGTGTGCGAAGCTAAGCCGACACACAGCAAACCAATCAGCCACAAAAACAAACTGGGAATTGTCGCTATTACAATTGGTTCAGATCTACACAAACTGTGATAATCGCTTTTGTACCTGTATACATCCCTACCTGTTTAATCCCCAACCTACTATCCATCACCTCCACTCGACTGGCTCTGGACGACAGTATAGAGGGAGCTTTACTCTGTCTCTATCCCATGCTGTCAGTGACCTGGAGTGAGTATGGACAGTGTAGAGGGAGCTTTACTCACTACCTCTGTATCCAGTCAATATATTTTACAGTAAATGCTCTGAAGCACTTTGAGACGTCCTTGTGACATGGTGCTATACAAATTGATAATAATCATGCATTTGATATAGTGCCATTGAGATGGCTGAAAACAATTTACAACTGTATCAAATGTAAGGTTTATTATTATATAAGCAGTGTTGTGGTTATAGCTGACACAGGGCCAGAACTCAGCTGATTCTTCCCCAAACCAGTCATCCAACTTCCTATGGCCAAGAAATGGAAACATAGCCAGTCTCTGAACAGAAGGCCCCCATTCAGCCCAATGAGTGAGTGTGAATGCGTGTGTGTGAATGTGTGACTTTATGATTAATCCCATCTCTGCCCATAGTCGCTCAATGTTTTCACAGATCAGATTCCCTTTTGAACAGTTAACCTGTCTAAGTTGTGATGAATGCTAAACCCTAACCATCCTTTAAGTGAGAAAATTCTCCCTGATCACTCCCCTTCCCACTTCTGCTACCAATCCCAATAATAATAAGACGCACGTTGAATGTGGTGCCTCACACATCAGGAGGACGTCTCAAAGCGCTTCACAGGATATTACTGTAAAGCTCAGTGACTGTATTTCTTACAAAATAAATTATGAAACTAAACAATCACAGCACTTCCCAATCGCTGAGAGGTGATGTTACAGGCATCACATCAAAGGCAAGGATCAACGTGAGAGACAAATGCTTATTGCAATGCCCCACTTAATTCCCCTCACCCAAAGCACAGAGTTTTATTGAGACTGGTGCTGTACAGGAGCTGTGCAGGTGATGGAGGCCCTGTCTCCCAGGATAGATACAGGTATCACATCTACAATCTGTTACAGCATTGGTGACGCTGCAGGAGACTGAGTTAATGTGAGAAACGCACAGTAATTGGATGCTCACATCTCACTGCTCGCTGGTGAGATGTATCTGCTGAGCTCTAATTATAATCACAAGTGGTGAGACACCGGCAATGAGGGAAGCACCACTCACAGCATCAGACCCTGGTAACACATTGAACTTTTCCCAACAATTTTCCACCAGTCCCTGGGAGCACAAGAAAAACATTTTTCTATGAAAGTCACAATCAAAGTCTTGACAAAATCACTTAGCAAGGGAGAGAGGGAAGGGGGGAGCAAGGGAAATGAGCATGAGAAAGAGAGAGAGAGAGGGAGGGAGGCCTCTCAGGCGGGAATAGGGCCTCTCTCTGATGGTAGAATTCCAATAATTTGGAAGGAATCGTGTCTTCATCCCCACCAGTCTTTCTTTCACTCACTGAACAATCTCAGTATTCTGTCCTGTTTTACCCTCTGCTCTCCTTCCTCCCTCACATTCAGTAACTAATCACCACCTGCTTCACCTCTGCTCCCTCTCCCGCCTCAGCCCGTATTTCACACCAAAAGCCATGAGACCCTCATTCCCACCTCCCAACTAGATTTTCCCCATGCTCTCCTTGCGTTCTCCCTCACTCCCACCATAAGCTCCAGCTGGTCCACACTCCACCGCCCACATCCTCCCCTGCACCAACCTGCGCACTCCTATCACCTCAGTCCTCGCCAGGCTCTCCCATCTCCCTGGGGCTCTCACCTATGTATGCCTTCACGTTCAGCTCTGTGACTTTTTCTCCAACTCTTCTGCTCGCTTCCTCTGCTCAGCTAACTGGGGCTCGCTGCTCTCCCTTCCCCTGCCACACCAGCAACCAAGCCTTCAGCTATTACCCTCCTATCTTCTGGAAATGCCTGCCTGCCTCAATCTTCTCTTCTCTCCATCTCTAATAACCCCCTGGTTCAGGCATGGGGCGTGGCTGCATTTCACTGATACCCTGACGGGGTGGGACAGTGCTAGCCTTCTCCAGCGGGGAGATGAGATCCGGAAGAAAGTCTGTGATGGGATTGGAGATCGCATGGCGGCACCATCCATGTGCCACCTCGATCCGGTATCTATAGCGACCAGCACAACCCCCGGTGGAACTCAGAATTTCCTTTTGAAACTTTGCTATTCTGCTTCTGTTGGAGCTGAGCTGTCAGTGAGGTGTGCGTCACACAGCCTCTCTCTCTCTCTCCAAACACAGGAGATAACATTAAGATTGGATTTATTTTTGACGCTATGGCTGGTGTTGGACATGGACCTCCTTTGGGAAAGGGGGTGAGGGGTAAGGATGAGGGTGGGGGGACGGTGAGGCGGACAGTGGGGGAAACGGTGGGGTAAGGCAGGCTCAAGGGCAGTGCTGAGGGTGAAGGAACAGGATGACAGATGTCAGCAATCGGAAAGCCAAATCAGTTACCATCTCCGCCACCGGTGCTCATTGCAGCCCAGTGAGTGTAATAGCCTTGCTGGGCTGTGTGAAAACAATCACACAATAGGTGGGTAACCAACTGAACTGCTGGCTGCTCAATACGTCTGGCTGAGAACCTGAAACACGGGTGGCATGTCCATTGGAACAGGACACAAAGCGGGGGGAGGGCAGCGAGATTTAGTAAAAGTGGGAAAGAGGGAAAACTACAACAACAACAACTTGGATTTATAAGGCGCCCGCCACGCCAGAGTGCTTCACAGTAACGGATCCCGGGGCTGAGCCAGGGGGAGGGGGGTGACCAAAAGCGCGATCGAAAAGAAAGGTCTTCAGCCGAGGGACAGGGACCCGGTGCAGTCTGGCAAGGACTGGGGTTATCGGGGAGCCGAGTTTGGTGCGGGTAAGAATACGGACGGCAGAGTTTTGTATGACCTGGATTTTTTGAATGGTAGTGGAGGGGAGACCGATGAGGAGGACATTTGAGTAGTCCAGCCGAGAGGTGACAAAGGCATGGACCAGGGTTTCAGTGGTTTTTGGAGTGAGCTATTGGCGGAGACGGGCGATGCGTCAGAGGTGGAAGAAAGCGGTGCTGGTGAGGGACCGGATATGGGGGAGGAAGGATAATCGGGGGTCGAACCTGACACCAAGGTTGCGTACGGGTTCGGAGAGTTTTAGAGGGGAGGTCGGGTAGGTGGAGGAGGTGAGAGCGATGTGATTTTAGACGTTGACGAGAGCCAAAGAGTATGGCTTCTGTCTTATCAACATTCAGCTGAAGGAAATTCGCGCTCATCCAGCTCCTGATATCTGACAGGCAGACTGCCAGAACATCAAGGCCTGGGGGTCGCAATGTGAGGTGGAAAAAATAAGAGTTGGGTGTCGTCCGCATGCACGTGGACGTGTACCCCATGTCTGCGGATGACATCCCCAAGAGGGAGCATGTAGATCAGAAAGAGGAGGGGGCCAAGGATGGATCCTTGGGGTATCCCGCAGGTGACCGGGTGAGAACGGGAGGAAAAGCCATTTGTGCAGATGTACTGCTGGCGGTTCATGAGGTAGGACTAGAACCAGGCGAGTGCGATTCCACTGAGATGGATGACGGAGGAAAGGCGGTGGAAGAGAATAGCGTGATCGACTGTGTCGAACACGGCAGAGAGGTCCAGGAGGCAGAGAGGATGTCATTTGAGACTTTCACAAGCGCAATCTCTGTACTGTGGGCAGGGCTGAACCTGGACTGGAGGCATTCGAAGAGGGTGTGGGAGGAGAGGTGTGCGCGGAGTTGATTTGCAACAACGCATTCTAGGACTTTTGCGAGGAAGGGCAGGTTTGAAATAGGACGGTAGTGGCTGGGGTTTGAGGGATCTAGGGAAGGTTTTTTGAGGAGGGAGGTGATGACAGCAGTTTTGAGGGGGGCAGGGACTGATCCAGAGGAGAGGGACTGGTTGATGACATCAGCCAGTAGTGGGCAGAGGTGGGGGAGCTGGGTGACCAGCAAGTTGGTGGGGAGGGGTTCGAGGCAGCAGGTGGTGGGTTTCATTGAGGTGATGGTGGGTGAGAGGGAGGAAGGAGAGATGGGGAGGAAGAAATGTAGGATAGGGGTCGTGGTAGGAGCTGATGATGGGGAGGGTGAGGGGGATGGAGAGGGGGTGGTGGTGGGTGACAAGAGGCAGGAAGATGAGGCTGCCTGGCGAATATTATGTATTTTGGATGAAAAAAAGTCCATGACCTCCTCACAGGCTTGGGACGAGATGGAAAATAGGTCGATTTAAAGCGAGGGTAGAAAAAAGAGCAGTAAAGTAGGAAAGGCAGATTGGGGAATTGGGAAGGCATTTGATAAGGAAGGCGGCGAGAACATAAGTGTAAATAGGCCTTTGCCACTTGTTGGCGAGTTCATAACAAGGGGGCAGGAATATACCCACTAACAGGCCGAAGAGAGTCCAGGAGGGGCTGAGGATGTGGGACTCACTGTCAGAGACTGGGGTTAAACCAAAGGTATCAATACATTTCAGAGAAAACTCAATGTAAAGAGAGAGAAGGGAATACAGGTTTGGCAGAATTAGGAGTGATGGAAGCTCCTATGGAATATAAAGCCCCTCACAGACTGCTGTTGATTCTATGTACGTAATGAACAAATGCAGCTTTTTAGCAAAATTCCCTACACTACAAGAGCCCTGGAGAGTTGAGAGTTTCTATTAAATCAACCTGTCCGCTCCCTGCGCTCTGCAGGCAGTGGCCTGCTCCATGTTTCCCACCCTGCCTACACCACTGTCAGCGGTCAGGCCTTCAGCCCTCTGCCCGCACCATCCCGGAGCCCCTCGGTTTTGCTTCCTC